GTTGACCTAATCGCCTAAAGTGTTGCATTTAAACGTGAATCCATTTATCAACTACTTGTTATTAATTTTATCAATCTTTGTTACAGACTTCGAATTCATTAAGTATGTGCGCAATGGAAGACTGGAAGCTGAATTTCAGTGGTCACATGACAAACGATATTATTTGACAGCTCAAAGCACAGGAAGCCCACTAACTCTAGAAGTAAGTATCGAGAMATGTTATTCTGTCCAATAACTAAAGCATTCAKCACAGCTCAAGCCAATCGAAATGCGCGTTATGTCACATCTATAATACCTGTAGGTTTCAGCCAATCACAATGTGCGCACTGCCGCACCTAATTGTGGRTTAAAGCCAATCAAAAAGCACATAATATCACACCTATAATGACGACATCTTTAATCATAGTTTTAGTACTATCCAACTATAAATATCTTCTTACTTAAACAGATACCTTCAAATGGCGCAAGCAATAAGCATCGATTTATCGTCAAAGGTTCAACTATGTGTTCAGACTGTGTGACTTTTGAATCTGTCGAGACGAGGAAGCTTTTGGCCACTACAAGACAYGGAAAAATCACAATGGAAACCAACAGCAAGCTACAATCCACAATATTCCAAGTGTACGAGTGTCCCAAGGTGTTGAACATCTTGTGCACCTTTGGCCACTTTTCATGCACTACCTAATATATAGATATTTAATATTTATTACTAATAATAGTTATTGATATTATTGAGTTATAAGGATTTTATATTAGTCCAAAAAGTACAATCTTAATTATTAGGGCAAGAGCAATAATATTTCTAAGAAGCCCCTTCAATGTGGACTSCGAGGTTGAACGCACAACGAAAAGTACTGTTTCTTCACTAGTGTTTTAAAACTTAAATGTGTGAAGATAAAAGCTTTGGTCCTTTCAAAAGTTTTTACGTGAAATCATAAGACTCCAGAACTTTAAAACAATCATAAAGGGTTGACTCCTTAAGCCCGTGAAAAAATATCAATGACTACTACTAAATAGTTTTAATTAGACAATAGTAAAAAAAGGAATATTTATGTTTCACGGGTTGAAAGAGTCTATCTTATAATAAGTTTTTAAGTTTCTTGGTTCTAGTATATCTTACAAGGAGCACGAGGCATTAGTATCGAGTTTTCATGGGTGTATAGCTCAATTTCGAAGAGAGACCTTAATTTATATAGAAATGGTTATTAACATGTTATTTAATGTTCTAAATATCTATCGATTCTCTAATTTATCGACAGGGTGCCGGACGTATTTAAAATCGAGTCAAAATTGAGAATACCAGTTGATATTTAACTAGTTGTCAAATCGGTAGTAGAAAAGATTTAATAAAATTGATGTACTAACAAATATGAAATACTTGTTGCTGTCCAAGTTCATTATCATTATCATCGTCGTCATATTTACTGATAAAGCCTTCATTCATTTGAAACATAGATATACAAAATCAAACCCCGCGATATTAGCTGTGGTTATCCTTTTCGACAATCCCCCTCCTCCCTCCTCCCTCCCCTCAGTACTTCATTTCTCCCTCTCGCTTAATAACATCATAATTGTCGTGGTCCATTTGATGAAAATCAAGGTCATCTTCCTGAGAAACCCAATGCGTGGTACAAAAAGCAACCTAAAGCCATAGTGAGATTTAGAGCGTTGTCACATATAAGTGTTTGTCACGGACAACGGAAACAAGATGTGCAGAAAACTGGCTTTAAACATGCGGAGGAAACCGTGGCTTTCTTCCTGGTGGATCGTTTTACTTCAGGTTTCGTTCCAAGCCGCCTGCGCACCTCATTCAAAACAAATTTAGAAAAATGATCTGTAAAGCGGAGGATAAAAGGGTTTTTGCGCGTCATTCGACCTTGCAATCTTGCATCAATTACTGCACACGCCACGCACACAGCATAATACTACATAGTACAAAGTATYAAAACMAAGTATTAAAATTTGCTTTAATTCTGACTATTCACTMCWCGTTGTCACATATGTTAGYGATAATGCTCTCTAAACCTGGCGCGTGTAAKATCTTTGTCGACAAGGGCAAATTTAATATCATGTTGATTTTCTTTTTTTTATTGGAAATTGGATCCTTTMATTATTATCAGTAGTCGTTGACAGGGAGTTAAGTGCTTTGAATCTTGACTGAAAAGAAGTTACGTTAGTTCGGTAATACAAGCCTGGGGTACATACCAGTCCAGCCCACGCTTAAAACGAGCAGGGAAAATATGGATCCTTACACCCTCAGAAATGAGAAAATGTTCTTATGTAGAATTAATGGTGTTGCTATCCCCTAATCTCTTGTAGGTATTCTTCACTCAATCATCCCCCCCCCCCCCTCTGTGGAATGGAAACGACCTACATTATGATACAGTATTGCATCTTAGTGTTTTGTATACCTAACATGTTAGGGCTAGTACGTGAATCATAGAATACTACGCCAATCAATACTGAAAGAAACAGTTTTTGAAGTATATTTAATTGTTTAAAACCTTTTACCCCTATTACAAACCTTGATAATATGAAGAAAAAATATATAAAAACACTCACCCGGCCATTACANGGTGCCAATTAACCAACCACCACAATTTTTTAGATCTCTAATAAGTTATAATTAATTTCAATCATGTACGATGAAAGCGGACAGTGAAACAAATACTAGTTTGCGCGTATACTCGCGTATGCAGACATTTCGTTACCATTAACATTGGGTCACTGACTGATTCCCCATTCTCGATCTCAAATTGACATCCACGTGATGAATGGTGCCCTCTGATTGGCTTATGGTGACCTGGAATCGACATGGGAAGTAGTTTCAGCTATTATACAGCTATTTCAAAAAACGTTGTCCGGGAGAACTGCGAACGGCGATTGTCGAACGCAGATTGCACGACCGAAAAGGACTATGGTTACCTTGTTTTGACAAACAAAATTCCACTTGTTTGATTTATCTTACATAGAAATGGAGACTAAATAGAGCCAATGTTTACCACAGATTATCTTACAGTACAAATCAGTTTGTTATTGCCTTTTCAACTAGCAAAACCCATAGGATTGTGTTATACATACCACAATATTCATTAACTATTATGGGGACTTTCCCTTCGGGGAATTTGTTTCCTTTCGGGGAATTCCCCACGTAGCCAATGAACCATACATCTCGTGAAATTCTGCAAAAATTGCTTATTATGCTGAGTATATTAAGTTCTTTCGTAAATCACAATGAGCTTATATATTATGTCGAACCAAATAAGGGATTTTTGACGACTTTTACCGTTTGCGAATGAAAGTGCATTAAGGCAGAATTTGATCTTGTCATGTCACTTTTAGACTCGTGATTAGCAGTCAACCAATCCACACTCGACAAATAGCCTTCTTATCTTACAAAGAAGCTTCTTTTCCGAGAATTCAGCACTTTTGCTGTAGGTACTGTTGTGGATCGGGCAGCTAATGCGTTTAAACGTTCAGTCCAAATTGCATCATGTTCGTGTCAAAAATCATTGCTTTGATGGCTTTCTCTCTGATGTTCGTTCACTTGTCTGCTTTCAAATTACCAGATAAATGTGGCCAATTCAATCTTACTAATGTGCTTCAAGGCAAGATCAGAATAGTGGATTTGGGGATTGGAGCTGTTTTCTTTCAAGCGTTTTTTAATGAAAATACCAAAGAAGCCTCGGAGTATCCAATGCTAAACAATTTTGTCAACAAATTCCTTGAAGTGGGATTTACCAAGGACGCAGCTGTTAAGGCCGCTCTCATGTACCTTGGAGCTGTAGCCTTGACGTCATATTGCTATATCGAGGACGCAAAAAAGAAGTTAAAGGAAGCAAGATGGTTGGATGACAAGTTTAGACTGAGCTTAGATTATGAAGTTAAACCTCTTCTGGATGAAATTGAAAACTCACTGAAAAATCCACACCATGTTTGCCAKCATAAAAATGACGTTATAAAGATGTTGACGGACAGAATAATAAGAGTCCAAAACATCCAAAAAGAAATCAAAGACCTCGAAAATGAGTGTTCAGAACGCCAAGAGCAAACGAAAATACTGACATGGGTTTTSGGTGCCATATCAGGAATAATTGYATTTTTGTGTTTTGTCATGGWAATCATACTAGTAGTACTAGTAGTGTTAAATTGGCACGATGAATCGTCGCGGGAATCATCAATGACATTACAGGAAATGGCTTATTTTATACTCATTCTATGCGTCGTASKWAGTCCCTTCATTGGATTCATATATTCCCATGAAAGCAATTTAACGTACAAGCAGGCGCTGAATCTTTTGAAAGATACGAATAGCCAAGCACTCAACGCCGCGAAAACATTGACAATGTACCGCACGAAGGTGGAGATGGAATGCGTTTTTGGATTTTACATAGATTCGGACTGAAACCTTAGTGTTAGTCTTTATAGCGCGATTTTCATTGGTATTTGTGCTTTTATTGGGATTAGAATTTACTGGACATCTCCCCTACTAGTACCTTCCACAAGAAGTTGCTTCAAAGTATCATATTGATTTATAGAAACGAAAATAGTGTAATCACTAATACCCTGAAAAAAAAACAAGATCTTCTTTCATATATATTGCGAGGACGAAAAACACGTGAAATGAATATTACATTAATACACCATAGTGTGCTCTAGTTGCATTGTTATCACACTTTTATGGTCATTTTTTGTTTCACGGGTTTAATGACCTTTTACAGATAGCAAACTTTATGYAATCTAATGAACTTTAAATGTATTCTTGGTTTGGAGAGGACGTGAGAAGGTGCGCAAAAGAAATGAGAAAGAAAGAAGTAAAGGCAAGAATGGGAAAGAAAAAAAAACTGGATAGAAAAGGAGTGAAGGAAGAAAGGGATTTAAGAAGGGAGAAAAAAGGAGCCACCAGAGTAAAGACCGACACAAATGAATACTAAAAGTAAAATATAACTCGACGAGAGTAAGTTGAAGTTTTCCAATTATTTCAGAAAAACAACAGAGTGTTTTATCAATGTTCACAGTTTATTGGGATTTTGACCACTATTTTGACAAAGTGAATTTCTCTAGAGTGAGATCGGGAASTTTCGACRTTTTGAGCTCAATTGAAGAAATAAYTCTACTTAAAGTTGAACAGACAGCAAACGCTTCTCTTTTTGATTTAATTTTTGTCTAAGATCATGTGTTATTAGTGGTAAATGGGTGAATATTGCATGGAAATGAAGACAACATTAATTAAGAAGCGTAATATTTTCTAATATTACTATAACACGCAACGGGGAGAGTTTAGAACGCGTCTAGCATTAGAAGTCCTGCCATCTTTAGAAATACATAGAATCGAGGAATTTATACACTGATTGTTAAAATAATATTTTTTCTTTCRCGTCTACAAACAGATGAACCATACATTTTAAAAGAAAATAYGAAGCACAAACGACGTTCTAGAACTCCCGCATTGCGTATTTAGTCAGCCAGTTGTAGTTATAAGTAAAATACCAATGTACTAAGATGAAACGCTTTTGAATAAAAGTGAAAATGCACGTATATTAAATTATTTTTGAGATTCAAATTTAGAGTTAGCTGTAAAAAATAAATTTCCGAAGCAGATTTGTTCAACTACTACTGCCGTATTCATTCCAGACAGGGTTTTTTTTCCTTAAAACACCGAATACCAAGCGATATGTACAGTTAAAATGACATCAAAATGGACAGGATGATAACAAAATGGACAATTCTGTATCATTAATGTGAGATTTGTTTTAAAATTGCTAAAATTATTAATTATACTCTTTGCGTGATGATCAGCACTGAACTTGGTTGGTGTTCAAAATACGAGGCTATTGCCAGGCAAGACAGGAAATCCACTGGAATCTCTTCAAGCAGACGTCCTTCCAATATTTTATATCCACAATGTATTATTGTAAAATAAACATTCACTGGCGATATGAATCAGCAGCACACATTACTGTCATCCATGCTGTAGACTTGTGTGTGCCAATACACATGGTGGACTGCACGCTCCAAGGTTAATATAATCCACATCCCTTTAAATTGGTAGCTATTATTGTGTCTGTTACCGCATTAAATACAAAATTGATGTTCTGTGTGTCCGTCGCACATGTCAGGTGAGTGTATATTTCTTTTTCGTCATTTAAGTTCTTAGATTCAAATTGTTTTCTTATAAATTTCGCACCCTCATCAAACGTGTTGGGCCCTGAAAGTGTATAAAACAGGAAATGAAATGAGAGGAAAATGAAAAATGGACGCAAGARAATAGGATTGGATAATGAATGAAATGGAAGAGGAAACGGAAATGGTACATTTTCAGTTTGACAACTGACACTTTCAAGCTTTAGTTGAACTTTATGTAAAAAGAGGCGGAGCTCAAGGAAACACACCTCCTGATTGGACAATGGATATTGTGATTGACAGTTCATAATGTAAMCAAAAGTACAAACCCCACATATTATATAGTATAATGATAATAATTGTAAATACTGTTAAGTGTGTTCCACTCCTACCTGGATAGTCAGGGAAGCAAATTGTTAGGGAGAACTTCGATATCTTTTCTTCAAACAGATCTTTCTTGTTAAGAAATAAAATAACTGATGTTTCCAAAAACCATTTATTGTTTATAATGGACTCGAAAAGCTTTAAACTTTCTTCCATCCGATTCTGAAACAGAAAGAAATTGTGGGTAAAGGAAAGGAACGATAAGACAGGGACAAATCTTGAACTTTGTCCAGAGAGTGCATGTTCTAGTTGTGACAAGAGATTGTCATTTTCTAAAATAAACAATTGTCCTGAAGTAATATAAACTGCGAGACATTTGGACTAGTGATACTTTTTAAATTCACAATTTTAGCGACTTGAAGCGCATATTTTTTTGCTACTTATCATTTCAYAATAAGTGCAATGTTCTTTGACTTAATAAGAGTAATATTGGTCCAAAAGGATGAAATATTTGCTATGTACAATAAAATGTATTCATTAATGGCCAAATTTGTTGCTTTCCTCTTAGAATTATTTTATTGTGAGTTCTGTTTTAAAATGTAACCAAGGCATGAAACAGCCATCTTTACAGGACTCAAAGTGACTGYGATTAACTTGGCTTTTATTTTTCTCACCTCACAATGATTAGTGTTTTATCATTGCTGTAAACACAGCTACAACACTTGCCCAGTGAGGTGTGGGTTCAATRGTTSAATGCGTTTCTATCAAAAAGCTTCAAGGCTGATTTTCAATATTAAAAGAACCAGAGATGTTGGAGGTGATGCATTGTAGGAARCAGAACTAATGGTTTTCCTTTGATGTTCTGTTTCCTTCATTGTTATTTTCTGTTTGTTGATTTTGACTTACTGTTGTTTCATCTTCCTCCAGCGTCAAGTCATAGGCACTGAGGGCAACACARTAGATTATAGCTGTAACATCCTCAAAGCAGTGGATCCACTTCTTTCTTTCTGATCGTTGTCCTCCTACATCTACAAGCCTACAATTGAATGAAAACACTAATATTATTGTTTTATTCAGAACAAGTGCTAGTAACATACATTTGGATACTCTACAACCAGAAAAAGGTAGTTCAAAGCTCGATTAGCGCTAATGCTGGATTAAATCTTAAAAAAACCTATGGAGCTCATCCTGAACTGACGCTAATCAGGCTTGAACGACTCGCCCCAGGATAACACAACATATGGAAAAAAGGGCAGCAATATACAGCAATCTTAGCAATGGTATTAAAATCCTGCTGGAAAATATATCATTGTACATACAAGTCTAATGTAGAAATACAATTCCAGCCATCAAACACCATTACCAGTTATTGGTTACTTACAAGCAATAATTAACATGAACACACTACTAATTAGGTACCTGATTATTTAAACTTACTTGAAATGAAGTCTTTTGTGATCAAACTGCACTTCCACAATTCCTGTTGTTTTGACTCTAGTTCTAAGAAGATCTTGCTCAGTAGCTTCGTAATTTTTTGCTCCTATTCTTTGCAAGGAATCTAGATAGCTAGGAATGAATGAAAACATCACAGTATTACAAACTTGTTTACTTATGTTTTACTGAGATTGTTGGGCCAATAACCTCTTTTACAATTCAATAAATATAGCTCAGCATTTTCATCGGAATTTGTTTAAACTTTTCCTAAAAAATATAATTACTCTAAGGATAAAATCTCAATTACATTATTAATTCTCATAAATAACTTAATTAAAAACAAACATTGTTAGAATTATATGACATCCCATAATCCGATGCAGTTATAAAATTCAGCTTGTAATATAATTGATTTCCTTTGAGTGTAGCAATTGATTCGCAGCTCAGATTCATTGTTTTGGAAGTCGGCTTTATGAAAAATGAGCAAAACAAGTACTGTTACATTAAGTAAGAAATATGTTTTGTCTAAACAGAATGCAAATTATATGCATCATCACCTAATATACACGGACATCTGTAGGATTTGCATAAAATTGCTGCAACTCTTTCAATGAAATTCCTAAAAATTTAAAGTTGGAAGTAATGCATTTCATTCGATTTTCAAATGCTTGAAAACAAACAGCTTTGTCCGTGAAAAAATTGTGCATTTCATTCGATTTTCAAATGCTTGAAAACAAACAGCTTTGCCCGTGAAAAAATTGTGGTATTTATTTTTGAAATATTTACTAAAAATAAGTGTTCATTTTCCATCTTTTTATTCAAAAGAGTTTTTAATGAAAAAAATGCTGATTTAAATGCTTTTAAACCTGAATATTTCCAACAATGATATTACCCCAATTTATTATTATTATTATTATTATCATTTTACAAAATTACATGCAAAGTAGATTTATCTATACACAAACATTTTGAAGTACAGAACAAATTTACCATAAAGATTGCTATCATTACTAAATAAAAACAGAAAAACGTTTTTGTTTATGAGCATTATTGAGCACTTAAAATTCCAATGATCAGAAAACTACAAAAAGCATATTTTTTATCAAGTTTTTCTTACATAAATGTATTATCCTCATCAAACACTGGACAGATTGAATTTATTTGATGACATGTCCTACTCTTTTAGTATTGCCTGCCCATTTGGGATCAAATGCTTGTCTGCAGATTTCAAGGGCATGCACATGCAGAATTCCCAAAAAGAAAAACTTGTAACCACTACTAATACAAACCAAGTGAACTACAGTATGAACATGACTTTGAATGTTTTATGTATTAGAATTATAAGTGTACCAATGGATCTACATCACAATTATAATCACCAGACAACCAAGAAGATGTAATAGACTCTTTCCCAAAATGGATTACTACTTATTGGCAATATCTTTTTYCTTAACCTAAGAAAAAAACATCCTCTGAAATACTAAAGAATATTCTTCACTTAGAAGCTGTGTCAAATCCTAGTAAGTTACTCTTAAGTTCTGAAAAATCATATAGAGCATAATAATAGTATAGAGTGGAAAAATCCAAATTAACCAATAATAGTATAGGGTGGAATAATAGTATAGCATGCAAAAAACAAACTGTCTTGCAAAATCATTGACTTGTCCCCAGTCTCCGTTGAGATCAAATCCGCTGAGCAGATGATTTGYGGTCTTAATTTGCTGTTCGCTCGTGTTTTTGTTTTTTTGGAGACATAATGTTTGTCTTTTGGGAAACTTTTTCAGAACTTTTTTTCACATTTTGTTTATAACTAATTAAGGTAAGAACAGAGAGAAAAAAATTATTATTTATTATCGAAATTTATTATCATACAGTCCTGAATAAGGCCGTATAGAGTGGGATATATAGTCAGAATAAATACCGTAACCGTATATATACGATTATTAAGAACTTAAGAGTACAATAAGAACCCAGAGATATGGATCTATGAAATTGGAAAATTTATAGAGAAATTTATGTSTGGTGGTGTATTGCTATACCCCTAACCAAACATTTTCTGTCATTTAAAAAATTGATTATGATTTTSAATGGGCCCTACTGAGCATTTACAGAGCATCTAAGACAGTTATATTCTTAAGTATTTCATGGCTCATTTTGTCTAAAAAAAATATGMTAATGAGTGGCAGCCATTTTGACTAAGTTAAAAAATAAAATATTGTGACATWAGCAAAGTTTCCATTTGAATTAGAATCRCTCGCTTTATTTTCAGAAATAACAAGATCAAGGCCCAACTAACACCAACAGTTTGTGAATTAATGTATCAAATTATGAAAGAAATATCATATACAATATCTACTATCTTGTATTACATGTAGTCACACTTCAATATCAAAAATAATTTTAAAATGTATTTAAATTATATTTCAACCAAGGAATAGCTGTGGAAGAAACAAAGAACTCTGCTCAATTCTTTCTCCAGCTTGTCTACCAGATGCCTACTATAAACCACAATAACACATACTGTAAAAGTTTGCCATTTACATATTCTGCTTTTGTGGCAAAAGTGATGTTTTGAGAAATGTTCSTCCATATCCTAATTCCTATATACAGGTCTTCGCTGAAAACTAAAGGTATTATCCAAAATAACATTCTTACATTAAAAACAATAACAACAATTTATGATTATCAAACAACAAGTTGAGAGGTATTTTTGATATTGTGTTATCAAGATGGGCAATGATGAATGCAATATTTATTGTTCATAATCAAAATTTTAATTAAATTAAAAAAACTCTAGCAAACAAGCTTCAGTAATAATCTTACTTAGAATATTTCTATTTTAAAACAATAAGTCACAACTGTCAAAGTCTCTGTAGAYGCTAGCCCCAAAAATGTACATTGATCTCAAAGCTTATTTTCTCACTAAGAACCTATTAATAACACTACATGTACCTAGAAAACACATTATATTATTTCAACACTTTGTATATGTTTAAGACAACTTCAGCTGTAAACTATTGGGAGTAACTTAGGGATGGCTATTTATAGACTAGTAAACATGTTATATTGGCAGTGAAATAAAGCTGAAATCATACAAGATTTTTGGATAATATTATGAAAAGAGTGTGCAAAACATTTTTGAAAATGGGAAATAATGTGACAAAACTAAATTATCTTTATAAATTTGTATTTCTAAGTTTGTCGAACTTTTGAGATACTCTTTCCTTTAACATGCATGTTGTGGGTTATTGGTAGTGAATGTTGAGAAAATAAGACAAAATAAAATCAATAAAAAATAAACTGAATTAGAGAAGTAAAAGGTGACATTGAATTGGTCAGAATTCTGAAAACAAATAGTATCAGATCAGAGGCCAGAAATTGCAAGTTCTTATAAAATGGATTTAATTGGACCATTGATTTCTACTTTTTATTGTTCTACAACTAAACAGCACCAGACAAGCAAATAAATAAATAGAAAGTTATAATAATAATWGTAGTAGTAGTGCTTTTGAAAGTTAAATGAGTCCTTAAATCAAATATCGCATAAAGTTCACAATTAGGAAGCAAATATGAATGTAAACTACACAGCCTCAAATTTATGACATGTTTTTCAGAAACTTGTCATCTCTGAACACTGCTATTTTTCAAAAATCTTACTTCTTCGCTACGTGCTCTAGCAGAAAATAGAACACAGCCAATCAAAAATTGAATTGATCTGAAGAATATAATAGTTAGCTATAAAACATGTGGTACTTGATGGAAACAACATTAGAAAGGTCAAGAACAACATGGTCGACATCACACAGTCTTTCTTTGAATGATTTGCTAATGCACGAATGATTTATTTTCAAATGCATGTGTATCTATTTCTCATTAATTTGTTCATTCTTGTATATGATCTCAATTAGTCAATAATTTAGTGTTGTTATATGTAATATTAAATGATTCAGATATCTCTCAATCTAGAAACCATGTGTTATTTTTAGAATATAATATATATATAGTACCAAAATAAACAGCACAGAGTATTGAAGGGTGTATAAAAGTTTACTGAATACTCCCATGTCAAACTAAATGCAAAAACATTATTAATATGTTTAGATGTAAGGATGGATTGGGATCAATGATCAATGAATAACAAATATAAACAAAAAGCCAAGAATAATACATGAGTTATCAATAACAACTTCCAAATTTGGTTAATATCACCAAATAAAGAAATATCATCAATAAGCAAATTTCAAAGTAAACACCACAAAAACAAAAAGTCAGCAATGTCCCAAAATATCAACTTATGTCAATACATGTCTATTTTGAAAATTCTAATGATAAATAATAAACGCATAAGGATCAAAACAACACAATGTTAAATTTTTTCAAGGTCAGATTTTTTTGAAAGCACTGGCATGAACTAGAAGACAAATACATTTGATATTAACATGTCTAATCCATCGATTTTGGTWCATCACAATGGGGATGAAAACATGCACACATACTTGAGATTTAAGTATATGATAGAACAAGAATCTGCGTCATTTCCAATAACAAAATAAAGAAAATTGGTCAGTGATATCAACAAGTTATTTTTTGTGAGACAACACAACACATTAATGTGCAAAACAAAGAGAATTATTTGCACAGAACGTGACTAAAGAAAAATAGTATGTTTGGGTGTTGAATACACACAGTCAACTTGACATTCCATACTTTGGTTCGATTGTAAACAAAACACTCTGGATGACATAAGGTAGAAGTTTTKGGGGAGAAAAATATGTTCTGCATAAAGGTCATAAACAGAGAGGTTTAGCAGGAAATATAAAGGAAAACTCGTGATCAGYCATTTATTCGATTCAAAACACCGGTTGATCTGTCCTTAAAAATAATCAAGCAAAACAACAGGTTTAAAGTGTGAACTTTAAGGGAATTGCCATTTTGATGCGGCGTTTAGTTGCAAAACATATATTATGTGCTAAAGTAATATTTCTGATAATACGGTATGTCATTTTTCAAATATTATGTAAAATGTTATCGGTGCAAGCTGTTTTTAGTGTTTTTCAGTTGCGATTTTGGGAATCGATATATTGGATCACTAGTCAAGCATGAAATAGCTCAGGAATTCGGTCACAATATTCGCAAAATAAATCAAGAGTTAATTCTGATCTTGTAAACAACATTTCATAAAATGGTTAAACTTGGTAGAGGTAGCAGTCAAGAGCTGCACTTTCTCTGATCAGTAAGAGTTAAGTCAAGCAAAGTGCTGTTGTGGTTAATATGGATGGTAGCTATACAATTCACTTACTATTTAGCAGAATCGCCAAGTTGATATTCCCTCGATCGACTGAAACACTCTTGTACGCCAGCATCTCTCCATAATCTTTCCATTGACTCTGTTAATTCGGGAGTAAAAGGTTCTGTATCGTCTGCTCTAGCTATTACATCAAATACCATTTTGGCATCCATCTAAACAACAGATAGTTCAGTTGTAACGTCATTTTAGCAATGTTTAAACACGATWACTGAAGCTTTCAAAAGCTCAAAATATTACACATGACCTGTATAAGTCAGAATTTACTCTTTTAAAGCTTACCAATCTTTCATCGTTTTCAAAATCAATCCGTAACTTGTCCATGGCTCGAATAATTGTTAACAAAGAGTAGATAGTATTGCTGAAGACCAGAGGTTTGTACTGTCTGTAATCTTCGGGTGAAAAGCCATGATCATGAATGATCCTAGAGAAAATAAAGTCAACAAGTGATGAACACATAAATTCCAACAACAAGCATACTATAAAACGAAAACAAAAGTTCTATACTTAGTTAGGGAAGAGGTCAAAAACACTACATCCATACCTCATTTGTTTGACAATTGTACTCTTCCCCGACTCTCCTGCACCTATATACAACAAATTAAAGCCATCAAAACCTTAGATTTAATATCTTAAATATGAAATAATGTGCAAACTAGACGAAATCGTCGCAAGAGAGAGCTAGTCCACGCCTCCTCGTAACAGCTCAAGTCTAACTTTGAATTGAGCATGTAAGCATAGATCTTGTTTGCAACATTCTTGGCTTGTTATTGGAACTAATACCTAAGAACTTTCAAAGACGATAGTCCAGATATCCTAGTTTACTATTTGAATGTAAAACAATCGAGTTATTAAAGCACAGATACCGTATCCCAGGTATAAATACACCAAAACACCAACAAGTACTGTTATTAAACATACCAAGTAACAACAGTTTCACATCCCTTTCCGCCCGAGCACCTTCGAGTTTGAGATTTTTCTCAATGGCTTTGCTCCTTGCTATGGCAGCTCGTTCTTCTGCACTTAAAGTGCAACCCATACTGAAAAGGGAGCCAAGCTATGATGGCTGATTAAGTTAAAATCACAGGTAGAAAATAGCAGACTTCAACCTCCATTTGTCTCAACTGCAAGGTTCGGAGCGACTTTGGCCCGCGATTTCGCCCACGTTTTGACAGGCCCGCATAAATTATCTCTACGAAAATGTAATTTTTTATCGTCGACCAATCAAAATGCGGAATATTACTCGGAAATAACTCGGCATTTACTCGGTATTATTGAAAACAACATTCGGAAAAGGACGTGAATTGTGTACAGAAAATCACCAGAAATCGCCTTTTAGAGTGAACATTCTAATCAAACAGAAAATGTTTTTTTTTCGAGCATCTTTAAATTTGTAATCGATCAAATATTATAAAATCGGAGCACAAATTCATGCTCAGACAGTTATATTATAACTACACGATGCACTAGTAACACTAGTAATATCAATGGCTATTTTTGTCCAACCTTTGAAATAAGTGAAATAAACAATTGTTAACGTGGGMGTCAGAAGTACTAACGGAAGTAAAATGGTTGAGTGTAAGCCGTGTGTTTTACGTTAAAGGCCAGTTAAGTTTTAGTTTTTCTTTGATCAACAGTTACGTTGACYTAATGAAACTGAAAATAGATGTTTGTCGAGATAACACTACTTTACTAAACCAAAATGCGCAAATCAGCACAAGAGMGGACGAAAGCGAAAACTGAAATAGCACAGGAACTACTGTAATAGAATAGAATAAAGAATAGAACTGAGCTTGAACAAACAAGCACTACAAACAAAACAAAATATAACAAAAGTACAGAGTAAATATGAATAAGACATTATGAGAATAACGCGTTTCCTGACTTTTCAATTGTATAAATGGCACCACTACATCGTTGTAGTTTTGCTTAATCTAAAGGACAAGAAGGCTTTCAGAACCCCCCTTGCTTGACAGACAAATACTTTAAAATATGAGACTTGAAAAATAAATGAGGATAGTCCAACAGTTTCGAACCCAGCTGGAACCCCCCCCCCTTTCATTGAACCCCTGCACACGCCCCTATCAAAGAATGAACCCGTCTAATGTTCAGTAGAGGGTCTCCGCAAAATCTACCTATGTTGATATATAAGTAACCCGAAAAGACTYCATAACGAGTAATGTAGAATTATAATTTTAATATAATTATCAATCAAAATTAAGAKCTATCAATTATTCATAGCTAGTTGTTTCAGACCAGCCACTGCAGATTGAAAACCGGCATTGTAATCTGTTGTGACTTCGTTTTGTACATAGTCACTTCTCTCGTCGTTAAAGTTATCATTCTGATCAGGTCCTCCAACCAAAGCACCTGTCAGAATCTGTGGGTTTGGCCCTGGATTACGGTTATCGTTCCAAGAACAAGGTRAAGGCTTGRATGGACAGGAACTTGATGCATGATGGGGCCTTTGAGGGAAGCTTTTTCCAAACCCAACCAAAAAACTCTGGCCACTGTCTCCAAGCATGTAGTGGATTTGTTTTTTGGCAAAAGTACGGTAGTCATTTGGTTTCATGCCATTATTAGCGGCAAGTAGAGCCAAAAAGGCGGTGTTGGCGGCGTATCGGTTGGGACCCCATTTGGCTCTCCAGGCWAGCCCCTTTGGTGTGTATTTGACATCGTTRCCGGGTAACCAGCTATCAAGGTATTCTTGAACGTCTTTCTTGTAGCTATTCTTTCCTGTAATCTCTGCTAGTAATACTTGTACTCCAGCTGTYTTTTCATCCCATGAAAACGCCCAAGGCTTATCACTCATGCCAAACGTCTTATAATATGCTTCAGCTTTCTTCAAATAATTAACATTKTTAGTTGCTCTATAAAGCCAGGCCGCACCCCAAACTAGCTCGTCATTGTACCCACTGTACGACTTGTAAAAAYTTGCAGCGTCTAGTATAGAATCGCTGTATTTTCCTCGGTACTTATCAGCGAAGTCATACAATTCCTTTGCATGTTGTAAAAGTTTATTAGCATATTGACGGTCAGTTGACTTGAAGGCCATTGATGTTGCAGCCAAGGCAGCAGCTGTTTCTGCTGCTAAGTCTGAGCCAGGTTTACTTTCAGTAATTTTATAGGCTGGACGCTTCATCTTCATGTCTTCTGGTCGACCCCAGTAGGCGTGATCTATGTCTCCATTGCCAACCTACATATGTTGATATTATCCGTTAGCCTTGTATTCGATAGGTGGAGATCAAAGAGAAGCTAGGAAGAGGATAATGGTAAAATAACAGGTACAAATACATTTTGGGCGAGAGAGTGTGTGCATTGAATTGTAGATTTGTTTCAGTAAGAAAAAGCTGATTTTTGACTTGGTGTATTGTATTGCATTGAATGGGATGGCAAAAGTCAATTAATTGCTCTGTAATCCAAGGCTAGTTATGGGAAGTTTCATGAATTATAACAGCAGTGCGCAGCTATTTTGAATTTTTTWAAATTCCTCGTCGAGGAAAAAACGTTTATACCTGACCATAGAACTCAAAYTTTGCKGTATGAGCCTTGATGAAATAGTCTGTGGCCCATTTTATGGAATCAAGGACATTATCCAACTCTCCTGCAGCTTTGTAGGCATCTCGGTACTCAACGACTCCCCAGGCTAACACAGTCACCGAGGAGGCCATCGGGAATCCAAACTTGACAAAGTCCCCAGCATCATACCATCCTCCAGTCAAGTCTTGTCCATTTTGKCCTTTATCGTTAAGGGCAGAGTCTCCTCTCCATGGGATTCTGTTTGTAGAGGGAAGCTTACCAGATCGCTGCGCCTCATAGAAGAGGATGGAATCATGGAGTACCTGGTCGTAATCGTATGACTTTGATAAAAAATCATCAATTTTAGATTTTTTAGTTAGCGTTGGTTTAAAGGACGCATGGACAACAATGAGAAACACTAGGTAAAGCATAATGCTCACTGAACATAAACGCCCACTGACTGAAAATGTTGTTGGCAAATCTTACTTGGTATCAATTATTCATTTGTTATCTCATCATACCCACTTGAGCTCCTATGAACCGTATTCCCACCTGCATGTACAACATTTAAAAGACTATTGTACTTGTTGATAAACAACTATTCATTAATCAGTTTATTTTGTTTTATAGAATTAGTGATAAAGATGAGATTGAGTGCATTTTAATTCCAAGGAGYAAAATTCTATTAGCTCATCATATCAATTATATTACTTGAATTAATAACTATAAAGATTATGATATAATACTCATTAATAACATGAAATATAACCACAACTACAAATGAGGTTGACTTGAATTTTATTGATTTTTGAACCCACAGCATCATTTYATATTGGAATTATCAAGAAACTATACCGAGAAAATCTATATAAGCTTCTCAACACATTTTTATTTCGTTTAAATCAAAATTGGATTTCAGGAAACTAGGACCTATTTCAGCAATTAACTATTCAACACCGTTCTTTGTTTCAACTGTTGCTATTTCTAAAAGTTCTCGGTGTAGAAGTGTTAGRTGTTCCTGGCTCTTCTTTGGTTTTGAGTAAATTTAATTTAGCGACAATSTTTTGAGACCTGCCACAGCTGACTGGAATCCTGCATTGTAGTCAGTAGCAACCTCGTTTTCAATGTAATCTTTCCTGTCGTCTTTGAAGTTGTCATTCACGTCAGGACCTCCCACAAGAGCACCARTAAGGACCTGTGGATTTGCACCGGGAGCATTCAAAGCGTCATGTGTACAAGGGGCTGGTCTGTCTGGACAGGAGCTAGAACGGTGATGAGGTCTTTTCGGAGGATTAGCACCAAATCCAACGACGAAGCTCCGACCACTGTCCCCGAGCATATAGTGAATTTGTTTCTTGGCAAAGTTGCGGTAGATGTCTGGTTTAAGACCGTTATCAGCAGCCACTAAGGCCAGGAAGGCTGTGTTAGCTGAGTATCGATTAGGTCCCCATTGATCTCTCCAGGCCAGTCCTTTTGGCGTATACTTGACATCTCTTCCTGGTAGCCAACTGTCCAGGTATCCCTTTATGTCGTTTTTGTAGTTTGATTTTCCAGTGATTTCTGCAAGAAGAAGCTGTGCTCCGGCTTTCTTGTCATCCCATGAAAATGTCCACGCTTTTCCGTTCATATTGAATTGYTGGTARTACGATTCGGCTTTGCTTAGATACTCAGCTTTATTTGTTGCTCTATAAAGCCACGCTGCTCCCCACACAAGTTCATCGTTGTATCCACTGAACGATTTGTAGAAGCTTGCCGCGTTGGTAATGGAGTCGCTGTATTTACCTCTGTACTTGTCAGCAAACTCATACAGCTCTTCTGCGTGCTTTATCAGCTTGTTAGCATAAGAAGGGTTGGTTTGCTGGAAGGCCATGGAAGTTGCTGCCAAGGCAGCAGCTGTTTCTGCTGCCAGYTCYGAGCCTGGTTTACYTGTGKTGATTTTGAACGCTGGTCGCTTCATTGTCATTTCTTCTGGTCGTCCCCAGTAGGCGTGATCAACGTGACCATCCCCAACCTTAAAACACAAGTCAAACAGCATATTTAACAATATATAACGTGTATATATATATCATGTGCTTCAGCACCAGWCTTCAGTGTAAAAGTAGTGTAATGAGAAAATAATTGCACAACTGATTAAAATACATTCATCATACCTGACCATAGAATTCAAACTTTGCTGTATGAGCCTTGATGAAATAGTCTGTGGCCCATTTTATGGAATCAAGGACATTATCCAACTCTCCTGCAGCTTTGTAGGCATCTCGGTACTCAACGACTCCCCAGGCTAACACAGTCACCGAGGAGGCCATCGGGAATCCAAACTTGACAAAGTCCCCAGCATCATACCATCCTCCAGTCAAGTCTTGTCCATTTTGGCCTTTATCGTTAAGGGCAGAGTCTCCTCTCCATGGGATTCTGTTTGTAGAGGGAAGCTTACCAGATCGCTGCGCCTCATAGAAGAGGATGGAATCATGGAGTACCTGRTCATAATCGTAAGGAGTTGGCGAAGCGGTGACGGGTGCTGCTGATGTTGGACCACCAGTAGGAGGTGCAGTTGTCTGCTGTGTAGTAGGCATGTGGGTACCTAATACATTGATAACAACATGCTTATATATTTTTTTTTTGCATAATTGCTACAGTATTTTTACATAGTAACGGACGCATTGCCTCTTACTAGTCTTTTGTCATTGGCACGCAGCAATGGTCAAATTAACTTGCGCAAGAGAATATACTTCATCAATTCTACCCTTCACTCGCATTAGCATATCAAGACATGGCTGTAGATAATATGATTAAACGTACCTGGTTGCACAGTAGTGGACCTGTCTGTARCTGGAGGTTGTTGTGTAGTCCCAGGTTGTTGAGTTGTGGGCTTGTTGGTGACAGKTGAAKCTGTTGTCTGTGTAACASGATTAGTTGTACTTGGAGGCATAGATGTTGCACATATAGTGTTGTCTGTAGGTTCTGGAAAGCTGTCTTTGTGATATAGGGTAACATCTACGTTCGGGGCTGGTTCGTTTTCTTTAWCCTTTTGGGCCATGAAGGCCATTTTCAGGACAGAACATTTAACCAAGTCGACATTAAAAGGCATGTTCGTTGCGAAGTACTCAGTGTTATCGCTGGACTGAGAGATGAGCTTTGCTTTCCATATTCTYAGCTGTAGAGCTGGTTTAGAGAACTTCAGTTTGATCAACCAACCATCCTTAATTTCGTTCTTGACCAGGAAGCTGAAGAACATTTTGAACCCAGTCGCCCATTCATCTACGATATTTGCAGAGGTAGTCACGCCCCCCAGTAAAGGCCACGCTGTGGATGGAGAAGAGGGTAGTGTTGTAGGGATTGTTGATGGGGTAGGTTGTTCTGTTGTTGTTGGTAATGGTGTTCCGGGTGAGCTARTTGTCCCTGGTGGCAAAGTAGAGGGTGGACTAGTTGTTGGCATGGTTGTTGGGCATGCATTTGGATCCTGGTTGATGTTATCAGCGTTCTTTCGATGGAATTCAACAGCCGCAGTAGGCGGTTGTGTCCCTTGATCTTTGTGTGCCATGAATTCGGCTACAAACTCAGCACACTTTTTAAAGTTTCCGTTCCATGGCATATTCTGTAGGATGTACTCTTTCTTGTCATTGGACACGGACACTATAACAGCTCTCCAGATTTGTAGCCCAGGAGTTGCCTTGGAGAATTTTAGAGTAATTTTCCAACCGCCATCAACATCGTCAAGGAATTGAAACCGAATCTTCATCTTGAAGCCTGTTGGCCACAAGTGCGGATCCAGAACAGGAACAGCGGTTTCTTCCGAAACTGCATTTGGTTTAGTAGTTGGTGGTGATGTACTCGWGCAACCATATTCTAGGCTGCCTATGATATACAACAGTCCAAGAACAATTGTTGTAGGACGAATCATCTGAAAATAGAATGAAAATATGGTATTTAGCCAGAATTGGAAACTCATCATCAGTCTTGCCACGTTGTGGTTTGCACAATTCATTATGGAAATGCCTTTGAAAGCGGTGAAGATCAAAATGAGGTGTTGTTGTGGCCTATTCTCCCTTTGTCGAAGCCTGTGACAGAATAAGCAAAATAATATATACAAGTTTATCACTTTTCTTTTCACTTCTAAACGATTTTTACCTTAACTTTAATACCTTAACTGTTAATTTGTTTCTTCAATTTGTTTCTTTAATTTGTCTTAAACGCTAAAAAACGCTTGTTTCTTTAATATGTCTTAAAGGCTAACGAGAAGCTTAGCTTAGACATGCCAATAAAAAAGTATYTAATTAATACTATTTAGCAAGCAGTTTGTATCGTTTCATTAATTTGCGGGATGCTACTAGTGTTAAAACTGTTTTTTAAGTATTATCTGGGAAAGTTTTAGGGGTTTAGGATATTTTTGGTTGCTAACACTTTTTTACACTATAAGCATTTAGTACCATTTGTTTCAACATTGGCCTTAAATCTACTAAGCTATTCTCTTTATATTACACGTCTTTAGTTCAGTGGGGTTACTAATGAAATAAATCATGACATCAGTACACTGATATGATAACTTACAACTGATAATGATAGTAGAATAAGAAGCTTTATCAATGAATGTTAGATATAGGCGTTATCATAGACTGAACAACAAACTATTATATCAAGGGAATGATGAATAMGTGAGCTAATAATGTCGTAATCCTATAACAATGCTATTTACTTACTCCACACTGCCGAATACTGCTGAATAAATGAACCAACCTTATACACTGACACATTTTATTGACATTAATARTCATTGTTTGAACACCAAGGTCCTCTTTTCAAACCACTTTTATAAGTATTTGCTGTGGGAGACTATTGGTGTATTGTACTTAAACTACAGTCACAGCTGATACAATCGATGTATTGGGTGTTTGTAAAACTGTATTGACAAGATGTATTTARATCAAAGAATCGATAAAGCCGTTACAAGCATCGAAGGCGTGGCTAAAGCTTTTCATGGCGACAAGTGCTTGACACGAAAAGGGCTGACTGCGACACAGTTGATAAAGTCATGTTATTTTTGTGTTAATAACCTCGAGTGAACTCGCAAATATGTCGACGTTTCGTGAAAGACTCGTACACAAAGAACAACCTGATTTCTTGGAGAATTGTCTGAGCATGAAATTCAGACATAGGAATAAAAGTATTGTGGATGAAATAAAGAACTTTGGATGCACCACTTTAGTTTCAAGATCTTACGGTGGGGCCGCGTGTGCAACTCGAATGATACTGATTCTCAGGTACCCTTCGATATAGATTACTCCTTCGAAAGCTCATAAATCATTTCCCATGTAAATTCAAGTGTTTTGCGGAAATCCCTGGASTCAAATCACGACCAKTTTATTYCTTCATACGACTTAAGTATTGTAACGTATATATTTACGTCCCATTCCGACTGAAAAAAATTTACAATGATAATACCGATTACGAGAGAAGGGAAAACTATACACAGTGAA